TCGCACACCGAGTGGGACGCACCACTGTCCACCAGGGCCTGGAGGCGACGCCCGTTGCAGATCACCTCGAGTACTAGTGGTTGCTGCTGCTCCGAGTATCCGTAGATGGTATCGCTTATAGAATCGTAGGGTACGTCGAATATGTTATCCCTAGGTCCTGCGCTCAAAGATGCAGCTTCAGTATCAGTTTTCAACTGAGAAAGGTTAGAAGGATTTATCCGAGGCCGATTCGGCTTCTCTTGGGCCTGGAACCTTCCACTAAGCCTTTGCAGCTGTGTAGGCTTCATCTGTGGGGAACAGGGAGCCTTTAAACAGTGCTGTTGGGAGAGAATATTAACTCCTCGGAACGCTCGACCCGTATTAGCGCTCTGGAGTTGGGTCCCCATAATACCCGGTACCGGTTTAATTTCTGACTCTCCCTTAATAAAGGCTTGAAACCCACGAGAAGTAATATTCTTACTTGTCGGGGTATACGGCTGGAGTTTCCCGGTCGGTGCAGGGTCTTGTTTCGCGGATCCTCCATTAGTCTCGGCGATTTCCCCTGGTGCCGGCTGGTCGTGACGTTTTAAATTTGCGCCACCATATTCTCCTTTTTTCGCCCTCTCCGAAGTTGCCACGTTGTCCGTTTTCTGCTTCGGGGGTGCCGCACTGTTCTTGTCCTTCAGCTCCGCACACCTTCTCTTCATTTTCCAACACGCCAAGATACGATGTCCTGTAGCGCCGCAAAATTTGCACGTCTCATTATTTGCTAGCCGCTGCTCCACATAGCCCTCGTCGTTCTCCATGGGGTCGGCAGTCGTGGGTGGTGCCAATCGCCCCATGCCACTAGTTGGCTTGTTGCGTCGTGTTCCGTAGTAGCTACTGTTCAACGTGTCGAACTGTTCGATCAGTGCTGCCGGAACCTGCGCCCACGTCCCCTCGCCTTGGACTATTCTGTTGTTGATCCACTCTAGAGCTGGGCCTCGTAACAGTGTTGCTGCGAGCCGTATGCGCATTGCGTCTTTTGCCGGGGTCGTGCATCTAACGGCTTCGAAGTAAATTTCAAGTTCAGCTACAAATCGACGAACGTCGTTCCTTTTTACTGTAGGATCAAACGCCTCCGGTAGCCTCAGCTTCACTGCTTCGAGGTTAACTGTAGCTGCTGCCGTTGTCGCATGTAGAATTGTCGGTGTAGCCGCTGCTGCTGCTGCTACTGTTGTCGCTGCTGCTGTGGCGGTTGCCGACTGGTTCGCAAGGAGTTTTTCGAGTCGTGGGAGCGCTGCACGTATTTGCTTATGCTCAGCACGTAGCTCCGCGATTTTCTGTACTGAAATATCTCTTTTTTCCTCCATTTGGCGATTTACAGGAAGATGCGAGACGAAAATAATCGAATTCTAGGTGCTGGTCGACTTACTGCGAGTCAAATTGACTGTAGAATCGAGGAGCCCGAATTTTGTAGGTTGCGTAAATCTCCCTTAGGCGAAATTCGCGTCCGATCTTGGCCGTTCAGGGGAAAATCGATCTGACGCTCCAAATTCCAACTTTTTGGGGCGAAATTCTCAGGGCAGTTGAGATGAAACTCGATCGAACGGTCGAAACTCCAACCTTTCCACCAGTAAATCTGAGGGGTGTTCGAAAACCGAATCGAGGGGGACTTCGAAAATTGCGCGCAACTGGTTTTACATACCCGTATCTGAGCCTGGGGGTGATGCGTCTGGAGCTACTAAGCCTAGTGGTGTGGAGCCAGCGGCCGCTGGACCTGCTCGTGTGGCGTCTGGCCGTGTTGGGCCTGGAGGTTCTCCGGGTGCTTCGTCTCGGCGGGAGCCACTCTCCCCACACGACCTGCGCGAGTGGTTTGCCCGGTGCTGGAGGCGTACTACTGGAGCTAGAGCTTCTTCGGCCGCTGAGGGTACTGGTGTCGCCGGTCCCGGAGGTACTCGCCCAAGGAGTGCTGGAGCTGCTGGGCCTGCGGGTACGACTGGAGCTGGAGCAGCTGAGGGTGTTGGCGCAGAGGCTACTGCTGTCAGTCCTGGCGGTGGTCCTGCTGCGGGTGCTGCTGGTACTGCTGGAGGTCCTGCAGCTGGAGGTGCTGTTGACACTGGTGCTGCCGCTGAGGGTGCTGGTGCTGTCCCTGCTGTGTCGGGAGTCGCCGCGCGACCTCGGCCGTACTTCGTTCCGCTCCTTCAGCAGGTTCTTGGTCCTTCTCCTCCTGTACAGTGTCCACCGCCTGTCCAGTCACAGTCACAGTTACCGCCCGCCTCCCCACTGCCTGCTCCCTCTCCTTACACTGGTCCTACTGGAGGTCTTGCTGAGCGTCATGAGCCCGCGTCTCGTCCCGTGTCGCCTGTTCGTGCTGCTCGTGCTAGTGGTAGCGGTTTGCATCAGCGTCCTCCTCCTGTCCCTGGCACGCACCGGATGTCTCTGCGTCCGTCCACTGCTCCTCTGCGTGTCCCTTTGCCTTCTCCTCCTGAGTCCTCTCTTCCTGCGCTTGCCGACCCGGAGTCGGACTCTCTTCGTGCTGCCAGTCCTACCGTCACGCGTCTCCTTGCTACTGTCGTCACTGACCCCTCTTTTGAGTCCACTGCTGCGTCTGCTCTTGTTGCTGAGCTCGTTGACTTTGCTGCTCGCTGTCGTCTAGACTACGCTGCTAGTCTTGTTGCTGAGTCTGCGTCTGTCTGTCCTCCGTCCGTCAATGGTGAGTGTGCTCTTGGCACGGACGTCCTTGAGGACAGGCAGGAGGAGTTCCAGTGTCTGGCTGCTGCTTCACCTCATCTCGCGTCCGTACTGCTTACCCCTGAGGGAGACCCGGATGCACTAGACATCCCGACTCCGCGCTCTTACGCGGAGGCCGTAGAGGGTCCCTACTCCTCTCACTGGCAGGCAGCTATGGATGCAGAGATGGCTTCCTGGAAGTCCACAGGCACCTACGTTGACGCGGTTCCTCCTCCTGGGGCGAACATCGTCAGTGGCATGTGGATCTTCAGGGTGAAGCGGCCGCCGGGCTCTCCACCTGTCTTCAAGGCGCGGTACGTGGCTCGTCGCTTCAGTCAGCGGCAGGGAGTTGACTACTTTCAGACCTTCTCTCCCACCCCGAAGATGACCACTCTTCGGGTGCTGCTACACATAGCCGCTCAGCGTGACTACGAGCTTCACTCCCTTGACTTCAGCACTACTTTCCTGCTGGGTAGCTTGCACGAGGAGATCTGGCTGCGCCGTCCACTTGGCTTCACTGGGACTTTCCCACCTGGCACCCAGTGGAGCCTCCGACGGCCAGTCTACGGTCTCCACCAGGCACCGCGCGAGTGGCACAACACACTGAGGACTACGCTTGCGGCTCTTGGGTTTGCTCCCTCTACTGCTGACCCGTCGTTGTTTCTGCGCACCGACACCTCTCTGCCGCCGTTCTACATCCTCGTGTACGTCGAGGACTTGGTCTTTGCCACAGCTGACACTGCTGGACTCGCCCACGTGAAGTCCGAGCTGCAGAAGAGACACACGTGCACAGACCTCGGTGAACTGCGCAGCTACCTTGGCTTGCAGATCACCCGGGACAGAGCACACCGCACCATTACCCTGACTTAGTCACACATGGTGCAGCAGGTCCTTCAGCGCTTCGGCTTCACGTACTCCTCGCCTCAGGCCACTCCTCTGTCTACTCGCCACTCGCTCTCAGCTCTGCCTTTGGATGAGTCCGTAGAGTCGAGTGGCCCGTACCCAGAGCTTGTTGGCTGCCTCATGTACCTGATGACCTGCACAGGACCTGACCTTGCATACCCTCTTAGCATTCTTGCACGCTATGTTGCTCCTGGGAGACACAGACGTTACTTGGCTGCAGCGAAGAGGGTGTTACTCTACTTGTGCATTACGTCGGGCATGGGGCTAGTGCTTGGAGGGCGGAGTCCAGTGGTCCTCACTGGGCACGCGGACGCTTCTTGGGCTGACGACCAGGCTACGCAGCGGTCGTCACAGGGTTAGACCTTCAGTCTTGGTTCCGGCTCTGTTTCGTTGCGGGCTACTCGCTCGTCTTCTGTTCTCGGCTCCAGTTGTGAGGCTGAGATCTACGCCGGGGCCATGGCTGCACAGGAGCTTCGCTGGCTCACCTACCTGCTGACTGACCTCGGAGAGCCGCCTCGTTCTCCTTCAGTGCTGTACGTAGACAACAAGGCCATGCAAGCCTTGTGTCGGGAGCAGCGCCTGGAGCACAGAACGAAGCACATTGCTCTCCGCTACTTTCTTGCTCGTGAGTTGCAGCAGCGTGGCCAGTTGCGACTTGCGTACGTGGCCTCTGAGGCCAACACTGCTGATGTTTTCACCAAGGCACTTTCGCCTTGTGATCATCAGCGCTTCTGCACTCAGCTGGGTCTTGTGCCTGTCTTGCCTCACTTGCTCACCCCTTGACCTTGCTTGTACTCTAACATATATATATACCTGCTCTTGCTTGTTTAGCCTTATATATATATATATGTGTGTACTCCTGCATGTGAACTGACCTTGTGGCCTTGACCTTGTGCTCGGACTGTGTGGTGACGTTGTGATCCACCCTGAGCTTTGTCTGCTTTGCTTGACTGGTCTTGTGACCCCTTGTTCTCCCCCACTTTGCCTATGGGGGTGTTCTCAGAATAGTAGATTAATCTTAGGCGCCATGGCTAGGTTTTTGAGGAAAACGAGAGTAGCGAGGGAGAAGTTGTACCAACAAAAAGAGGGTGATTCAATATTGAGCGAGGGTACAAATACAACCCTAGAAAGCTGTACCCCATATGTGCAACCCCACTATAGCCTACAAACATGCATCAGCTATAATACTCTGACACACCCCCATAGGCTAAGTGGGGGAGAACAAGGGGTCACAAGACCAGTCAAGCAAAGCAAAGCAAAGCAAGCTCAGGGTGGATCACAAAGTCACCACACAGTCCGAGCACAAGAGGAGGGCCAGAGGCCAGTTCACATGCAGGAGTACTGACATATATATAAAACTAGACAAGCAAGAGCAGGTATATATATATGTCACAGTACAAGTGAAGTCAAGAGGAGAGCAAGTGAGGCAAGACAGGTACAAGACCCAGCTGGGTGCAAAAGCGCTGATGGTCACAAGGCGCGAGTGCCTTGGTGAACACATCAGCAGTGTTGGCCTCAGAGGCCACGTACGCAAGTCGCAACTGACCACGCTGCTGCAGCTCACGAGCAAGGAAGTAGCGGAGAGCAATGTGCTTCGTTCTGTGCTCCAAGCGCTGCTCTCGACACAAGGCCAGCATGGCCTTGTTGTCTACGTACAGCACTGGAGGAGAACGAGGCGGCTCTCCAAGGTCAGTCAGCAGGTAGGTGAGCCAGCGAAGCTCCTGTGCAGCCATGGCCCCGGCGTAGATCTCAGCCTCACAACTGGAGCCGAGAACCGAAGACGAGCGAGTAGACCGCCACGAGACAGAGCCGGAACCAAGGCTGAAGGTGTAACCCTGTGACGACCGCTGCGTAGCCTGGTCGTCAGCCCAAGAAGCGTCCGCGTGGCCGGTAAGGACCACTGGACTCCGCCCTCCAAGCACTAGCCCCATGCCCGACGTACTGCACAGGTAGCGCAATACCCTCTTCGCTGCAGCCATGTGCTCTGGTCTGTGTCTCCCAGGAGCAACATAGCGTGCAAGAATGCTCAGAGGGTATGCAAGGTCAGGTCGTGTGCAGGTCATCAGGTACATGAGGCAGCCAACAAGCTCTGCATACGGACCACTCGACTCTACGGACTCATCCGAAGGCAGAGCTGAGAGTGAGTGGCGAGTAGGCAGAGGAGTGGCCTGAGGCGAGGAGTACGTGAAGCCGAAGCGCTGAAGGACCTGCTGCACCATGTGTGACTGAGTCAAGGTAATGGTGCGGCGTGCTCTGTCCCGAGTGATCTGCAAGCCAAGGTAGCTGCGCAGTTCACCCAGGTCTGTGCACGTGTGTCTCTTCAGCAGTTCGGACTTCACGTAGGCGAGTCCAGCAGTGTCTGCTGTGGCAAAGACCAAGTCGTCGACGTACACGAGGATGTAGAACGGCGGCAGGGAAGTGTCGGTGCGAAGAAACAGCGACGGGTCAGCAGTAGAAGGAGCAAACCCAAGAGCCGCAAGCGTAGTCCTCAGTGTGTCGTGCCACTCACGCGGTGCCTGGCGGAGACCGTAGACTGGCCGTCGGAGGCTCCACTGGGTGCCAGGAGGGAAAGTCCCAGTGAAGCCAGGTGGACGGCGCAGCCAGATCTCCTCGTGCAGGCTACCCTGCAGGAACGCAGTGCTGAAGTCGAGAGAGTGAAGCTCGTAGTCGCGCTGAGCGGCTATGTGCAGCAGCACCCGAAGAGTGGTCATCTTCGGTGTGGGAGAGAAGGTCTGAAAGTAGTCAACTCCCTGCCGCTGACTGAAGCCACGAGCAACGTACCGTGCCTTGAAGACAGGTGGAGAGCCCGCCGGCCGCTTCACCCTGAAGATCCACATGCCACTGACGATGTTCGCCCCAGGAGGGGGAACCGCGTCAACGTAGGTGCCTGTGGACTTCCAGGAAGCCATCTCTGCATCCATAGCTGCCTGCCACTGAGAGGAGTAGGGACCCTCTACGGCCTCCGCGTAAGAACGCGGAGTCGGGATGTCTAGTGCATCCGGGTCTCCCTCAGGGGCAAGCAGTACAGACGCGAGATGAGGTGAAGCAGCCGCTAGACACTGTAACTCCTCCTACCTGTCCTCTAGGACGTCCGTGCCAAGAGCACACTCACCCCCGACGGACGGAGGACAGACAGACGCAGACTCAGCAACAAGACTAGCAGCGTAGTCGAGACGACAGCGAGCAGCAAAGTCAACGAGCTCAGCGACTAGAGCAGACGCAGCAGTGGACTCAAAAGAGGGGTCAGTGACGACAAGAGCAAGAAGACGCGTGACAGTAGGACTGGCAGCGCGAAGAAAGTCCGACTCAGGGTCGGCAAGCGCAGGAAGAGAGGACTCAGGAGGAGAAGGCAAAGGGGCACGTAGAGGAGCAGTGGACGGACGCAGAGACATCCGGTGCGTGCCAGGGACAGGAGGAGGACGCTGACGCGAACCGCGACCACTAGCGCGAGCAGCACGAACCGGCGACGCGGGACGAGACGCAGGCTCACGACGCTCAGCAAGACCTCCAGTAGGACCAGTGTAAGGAGAGGGAGAAGGCAGAGGAGAGGAAGGCTCCAACAGTGACTGCGACTGGACAGGCTGTGGACACTCTACCGAAGGAGAAATACCAAGAACCTGCTGTAGGAGCGGAACGAAGTACGGCCGAGGCCGCGCGGCAGCTCCAGACTCAGCAGGGACAGCACCAGCACCCTCAGCGACAGCACCAGCGCACCAACACCTCCAGCGGCAGGACCTCCAGCAGCACCAGCAGCAGAACCACCGCCAGGACAGACAGCAGTAGTCTCAGCACCAACACCCTCAGCAGCTCCAGCTCCAGTAGGACCCGCAGGCCCAGCAGCTCCGGGACCGGCAGCACCAGCACCCTCGACGGTCGACGAAGCTCCAGCTCCAGCAGCACTCCTCCAACGGCGAGCAAACCACTCGCGCAGCTCCTGTGGAGAGAGGGGCTCCCGGCGAGACGCAGCAGCAGGAGAAAACCCCAGGCTCAGCAGCTCCAGACTCAGCACCCCCAGGCACAGCAGCTCCAGACGTAGCACCCCCAGGCTCAGCAGCTCCAGACTCAGCACCTCCAGGCTCAGCAGCTCCAGACTCAGCACCCCCAGACTCAGTAGCTCCAGCTCTAGTAGGACTCGCAGGCCCAGCAGCTCCGGGACGGCAGCACCCTCAGCAAGCGAAGAAGCTCCAGCTCCAGCAGCACGCCTCCAGCGGCGAGCAAACCACTCGCGCAGCTCCTGTGGAGAGAGCGGCTCCCGCCCAGCAGTCGCAGGCTCCGCACCTCCAGGCTCAGCACCCCCAGGCTCAGCAGCTCCTGACGTAGCACCCCCAGGCTCAGCACCCCCAGCAGCAGCACCCCCAAGCTCAGCACCCGCAGGCGTAGCACCCCCAGACTCTCCACCCGCAGCAGGACCAGACTCAGCAGCAACCTCGACTGGCTCGACTGTGTCTACCTGGGACACACCTGAAGGGGCAGGAACCTGAGGGGGAGGGGGTCTACCGGGGGGGGAACTGGCACCAGGAAGTCCGGTGGGGGGGGGAGGGAAGGAGTACGGTAGGGGAAGAGGCGGTAGAAGGGGACTGACTCGTCGAACGTGACGTCCTGGGAGGACAGAACACGACGAGAGGAGGGGTGGTAGAACTGCCACCCTGGAGCGTCAAGGGGGAAGCCAAGGAAGACACAGGGAGCAGCACGGGGGGACAGCTTGTCTGCAGACAAGTCGCGGACAAACGCCCGAGATCCCCAGACACGGAACGCAGACGCATCGCCGACCTTCCCCGTCCACAGTAACACTGGCGACATCGCGGGCCGAGAGACCCTGGGGTGAAGGTTGAGCTGATGCGCCGCGTACCGAACCGCAAACGGCCACAGAAAATGGGGGGCAGCCGCATGCATCATGGACGTACGAGCGACATCCATGACCATGCCAATGCGGCGCTCAGCAATTCCATTTTGCTGTGGAGAGTCCGGAAGCGTAAAGGTCTGGCGGATCCCCTGTGCACGACAGTAGTCTCGCAGAAGGCGAGAGGAGAACTCCCCACCTCGGTCAGAGTGCAGACGGAGAACAGGAAAGTCCGAGCCGAAGCTCCTCCTGAGCTGGAGACGAGCCTCGCGGATCCAGTCGATCAGCACCTCAGTGACAGCACCCTTGCTGCGCAAGGGGAAGACTGAGGTGTAACGCGAGTAGTCGTCAACCACCAACAGGAAGTAGCGCTCGTGACCCTGCCCACGGACGGGGGCCGGGCCCCACACGTCCATGTGAAGCGTCTGCAGAGGAGCCTCTGTCGGGGGAAACTGGGAGGAGTGAGGAGCAGCCCTGAGGCGCCCCTCGACACAGGGGACACAGGAAGGTCCTGGTCTTGAAGGAAGGGGAGGGAGAGACTGGGGAAGACCAGAGACAAGGACACGGGAAGCCATGCCCCGAACACGGGGCAAGGAGGGGTGGCCTAGACGGTGGTGCCACAGGAGAGTCTCGTGAGACAGGAGGCGACACGAACAGGGGGCAGACTCAGGACCAGACCTGGACGCAGCAGCAAACACCTGACCCGACGCTGCTACCTGACCGGACGCGGGGACAGGAGGAGACTCAGTGGTCAGGGTTGTAGAGGCTCGACCCCGGCCGACGCGAGAACGTGGCCAGGTGCCGGCCTGTGCGTGCGTCCGTGCAGTGGGTCACCCGCTGACTCGCAGGAGTGAACTGGTGAACCCCCGCATCCTGTAGGTCTGCACCACTCACCAAGTTCGTCGAGAACGAGGGGAGGTACAGGCCAGACAGGGTGCCCGAGGGGGCAGCCGGACACGGGAGGACAGTGGAGAAGTGAGCGAGGACAGGACCCCCAGAGGGGTCAGCCAGGGAGACAGCAACCGGCCGACCAAGCGGCGTGAGTGTGGTGCGGTCCCGAAAGAAGGAGCGAGAAGCCCCAGAGTCAAGTGTAAAGGTGAGGGAGGCCGAAGCCAACGCTGGTACCTGAGAGCGCAGCCTCACCCGCACCTGAGGAAGCAGACTCACTAGCACCTAGAGCAGCAGCCGCACCTGTACCAGGAGCAGGAGACTCACTAGCACCCAGAGCAGCAGCCTCACCAGTAGCTAGAGCAGCAGGTCCTATACCTGGGTCAGGCGGAACGCACAGGTGACCGGCATGGTCAGCACTAGTAGGCAATGCATACATGGCAGTGAGAATAGCATCATAGTCAAGAGCATATATATCTACCCTCTGCCTAAGCAACTCCACCCAGTCGGGAAGCTCAGCCTCGTCACCAAACACGGTACGCCAGGCGTCGCTCAGACGGGCGAAGCAGCGGGACTGTGTATGACTACGTGTCTCACAAGGCTGACCAGTCCGAGTACCAGTGCGAATCACGTAAGAGCAGCGAACAGCACTGAGAGACCCTCCACTCTGAGCGTACCACTCACGAAGCTGGCGAGGCGTGAGAGACACGCGAGAGGGTCGCGGGAGCTGCATCTGGCCGCCACCACGAGTAGAAGCAGCAGGAGTGGTAGTAGGAGTAGCGTCGCCACCCCTACAGCCCCAACCAGCGTACCACTCACGCAGCTGCTGGGGCGTGAGGGACTCACGCAGGCGTCGCTGGGGCTGCATCTGGCTCCGCAAGTAGAAGCAGGAGCAGGACTAGCAGCAGGAAGGCAGGCAGCCAGGCAAGCCAAAAGGCAGGCAGGCAGGCAAGCAGGCGACGCGCAGCGTGCTAGCAGGGCAAGAGCTCACCAGTGGTGGGAAGAGTAGGCTCGGCGACTCAGCGGCTCGGCAGCTCGGCGGCTTGGCGGCTCGGGCGACTCGGGCGGCTCGGCGGCAAGGCGGCTCGGCAGCAACTGCAGCTCAGCAGCTCGGTGACTCGGCGGCTCGGCGGCAGGGCGGCTCGGCAGCAACTGCAGCTCAGCAGCTCAGCGACCCGGTGGCTCGGCGACAGGGCGGCTCGGCGGTGGGGCGGCTCGGCTGCTGCAGGTGAGCGATGAAGGAGGAGGAGAAGCAGAGGAGGCCACACACCTGCCACCCCTCTGCTGGCCTCTCAGGTCGCCTCGACAGGCGACGGGAAAAAGGGGGGGGTGGGTGGTGGGGGCCGGTAGGTGCAGCGGCGGGGCCAGCAGGTGCAGTTGCGGGGCCGGTAGAAGGGGACGGCAGCCTGGGCGGTCGTGGGCGGCTCACGCTGGGCGGGTGCACGGGCGGCTCGGCGGGCGGCGTACAGGCAGCTCACGGGCGGGCTGCGACGGGCGGCTCGCGGGCGTCGGGCGCTAGGGCGCTGGGGCGACGACGGGCGGCGCTCAGGCGTCAGAGCGGGCGGCCGTCAGGGCGCTAGGGCGGGCTGCGCTCAGGCGTCAGGGCGGGCGGCCGTCAGGGCGCAAGGGCGGGCGGCGCTCGGGCGCTAGGGCGAGCGGCGCACGGGCGCTAGGGCGGGCGGCCGTCAGGGCGCTAGGGCGGGCGGCGCTCGGGCGCTAGGGCGGGCGGCGCTCCGGGCGCTAGGGCGGGCGGCCGTCAGGGCGCTAGGGCGGGCGGCGCTCGGGCGCTAGGGCGGGCGGCGCTCGGGCGCTAGGGCGGGCGGCCGTCAGGGCGCTAGGGCGGGCGGCCGTCAGGGCGCTAGGGCGGGCGGCGCTCGGGCGCTAGGGCGGGCGGCGCTCGGGCGCTAGGGCGGGCGGCCGTCAGGGCGCTAGGGCGGGCGGCCGTCAGGGCGCTAGGGCGGGCGGCGTTCGGGCGCTTAGAGCGGGCGGCCGTCAGGGCACTAGGGCGGGCGGCCGTCAGGGCGCAAGGGCGGCGGCGCTCGGGCGCTTAGGGCGGGCGGCCTTCAGAGCACTAGGGCAGATCGAAAAAAAAAAAAAAAAAAAAAAAAAAAAAAAAAAAAAAAAACGAGCGGAATAGGGGGCCGAAACGGAGGCGCGACGAGGCGACGTCGGGGCAGCGTGGCCGCGAACGACGGGGCGACGAGCAGCGCGTCGAGCAGAGCGCCGCCTTCGCCCCGTCGATCGCACTGACGATTGAAACCGTCGCGGATTTTCACGCGACGGTCGCACTGACGGCCCGATCGCAGTAGAAAGTCGTTGGGAGGGAGGGCCGCCATGACAGGGTCGAAAATTGGTGGGCCCATTGATCGAAATCTAGCTCGATACCATCTCAGAATAGTAGATTAATCTTAGGCGCCATGGCTAGGTTTTGAGGAAAACGAGAGTAGCGAGGGAGAAGTTGTACCAACAAAAAGAGGGTGATTCAATATTGAGCGAGGGTACAAATAGGAAAGAACCAACAAGAAAGGTGCACCACCAACTAAGAGAATGCTATAACTACAGTAACCCAATCCTACAGGCAGTTACATATAGAAAATATTAACTTATATTTTCCGACAGGTGTGTCAAATTATAATATTGTGTAGGCTATAGTGGGGTAGCCCATATGGGGTACACATTTCTAGGGTTGCATATTTGTATCACTTCCATTCCTTAGTCAATCATTCTCGTTCTACTTTCCTCATATGGTTCCTTCCATGTTTTGAGAGCTTTTTTAAGATAGCATAATAAGGTTACCAGAAAGAATGGAATGACAATGCTGGTTGCATGAGGGGTAAAAGCGAATAGTTTGTACAAATGTGGGCGACCTACCGTAATCAGCAACCAGGGCTCTAGATATCAGCCTTTTTATGCTGAGTCAGAGTTAGATCAAGTTTTTTTTTTAGGAGCTTGGCTGAATCCGTTTTTTTTGTTATCTACCTTGGCTGGATTATCACAGTTTTTTTCACTATGGTAGCTTTTTCAGCCTTTTTGTATGAGTGTAGGCTGTGCACTCAGCCTTGTATAGGGGTTGCACGCACACCGAAACCGGCATTACAGGAATTTCCGTCAGCTTGGCTTAGTTTAGGACTGATGCCGTCAATCGTGGGCGGGAAATTGAATTCCCCCGCGCGGCATCGCACACTCTCGTGAGATCAGCTGCAAGTCTGACAAATCGGGGTTTGCGCAGCAGGGAGGTGTTGGCGAGATTTGTTGCCAACATATGGCTTGCAGCGCGCTGCGCCTCGCACGATGCCACAAACATCCACCCCACCCCACCTTTCCTCAAACACAACCACGTGAGGTGCATGCAGGGACCACCAGGGAGATGGGAGGTTCTATTACGAGGGGCCTCTTCCACGCTGCCTCATCCTCACCGTCACGCCTATTCCCTCTATCGCCTGCCAACTCTCGCTTCACTTCAGTGCTGACTTGAACCCTTGTTTAGGGTTTAGGGAGTGAGACTGCTTATGCCAGAACTGTGGCCACCAAACTGAGAGCGGCACGCACTGCAGGCACAGCGTCAGGAATGGTTGATGTCTCTGTGCACTCTGTTTCATGCAAATGAGCCGCCGAGATCCTACGAGGTTAGCTATATTAAATATGCTAGACCAAGCATTGAAATCCGGGCCATAACTAATCCCCTCCAATGTTCTGTTATTCGCAGGCATTGACAAGAAAAGGGCATTGAAGGAGCTGAGGTCTCTGTGCCCGGTCCTGGGCAGGTGAGGAGGAGGAGAGACTGTGGAGGAGAGAAGATGGGAGGCGACTGCTGACGCTGCAAACACACAGACGAGGTGTTGGCTCAGTGGCTACCGGAACAGTGCTCCGGACTACTGGAGTAACTGGCCCCGCGGCTAAAAGTAGCGGCAGACGAGCAACGGACCCACGGGCGACTGGCGACTACCGGAGATTGTAGCCTCCGGACTGCTGCTGCTGCTGACGACAAGACTGCTGCTCCACTCAACCTCCCCAGCTGCCCAACGCCCCCTCTCACACACCCCTTGCTCAAACCCTAGCCCTACACCCAGAGCACCCCCTTAAACCCTAAACCCCAGACTCCCACACATCCACCCCCCTCAGCGATAGCTGCAGCAGTGGGAGACGAAGGAGGAGGAGGAGGAGGTGACGGGACGCACAACCGACACCCCCACAACCATCACCCCCACACCCACCCCCCCACGGCTGCACCGGGTCCAGGAGCGGCTGCTGCAGAGGCCAGGGCGGCTGCTGCTGGGGCGGTTGCTCCAGGGGCTGCTGCTGCTGGGGCGGCTGCTCCAGGGGCTGCTGCTGCTGGGGCGGCTGCTCCAGGGGCTGCTGCTGCTAGGCGGCTGCTCCAGGGGCTGCTGCTGCTGGGGCTGCTCCTGCTGGGGCGGCTCTTGCTGGGGCGGCTGCTCTAGGGGCTGCTGCTGCTGGGGCGGCTGCTCCAGGGCTGCTGCTGCTGGGGCGGCTGCTCCAGGGGCTGCTGCTGCTAGGGCGGCTGCTCCAGGGGCTGCTGCTGCTGGGGCGGCTGCTCCAGGGGCTGCTGCTGCTGGGGCGGCTGCTCCAGGGGCTGCTGCTGCTGGGGCGGCTGCTCCAGGGGCTGCTGCTGCTGGGGCGGCTGCTCCAGGGCTGCTGCTGCTGGGGCGGCTGCTCCAGGTGCTGCTGCTGCTGGGGCGGCTGCTCCGGGGGCTGCTGCTGCTGGTGTTGCTCCTGCTGGGGCGGCTGCTGCTGGGGCGGCTGCTGCTGGGGCGGCTGCTCCAGGGGCTGCTGCAGCTGGGGCGGCTGCTGCTGAGGCGGCTGCTCCAGGTGCTGCTGCTGCTGGGGCGGCTGCTCCAGGGGCTGCTGCTGCTGGGGCTGCTGCTGCTGGGGGCGGCTGCTCCAGGGGCTGCTGCTGCTGGGGCGGCTGTTCGAGGGGCTGCTGCTGCTGGGGCGGCTGCTCCAGAGGCTGCTGCTGCTGGGGCGGCTGCTCCAGGGGCTGCTGCTGCAGCGGAAATTAGGAGGGAGGGGAGGGGAAGGGCGCGGCCCCCAGGGTGCCCTGACGGGCGACGTGCTAGGGAGCTGCGCAGGCCCCCGAAAGTTCCCCGACGGGCGACGGGAGGGGACCGCGCGCATGCCCCTCAGGCGCCGTGACGAGGCGACGGTCGGGGCCAGTGCGCGGGCCCCCAAGACGCCGCGACGAAGTAGGAGCCCCGCCGCGCGCCTCGGGGCGCACGGCGGGCAGAAAACCGCCACGCATTCCGAGCGCGTGGCGGGAAGAAAATAGAATGTCGCGCGCCACAGGGCGCGCGACACACAGTAGGGCAGCCGAAGCAAGTGGGCCCACAGGCCAGGAGCTTTAAGCTCAGATAGCATATTAAAGTTCTAGAGTGTAGTAGGCTTAGAAGCCATAGTTTAGGTGCCTTAGTAGCTTAGGTTTTAGGGTGTAAGGAAAATGTCAAGAAAGTTGAAAGGAGAGAATGTGATTCACTAGCAAGAGTTGGGATACAGTACAACACCCTAAATTGGTTGTACTCATTATAGAGTACCCCACTGCAGGCTAGACAGCAAATACATTCTGACACTTGGTCCCCTTCGTTTCCCATATCTGCACCCCCACTTTCATTTTTTCATTCAATTACTTGCTCTAGCCCGCCTAGCTGGCGAAGCCATGGTGGAATTCATAGGGACCCACTTCCATTTTAAGAAGAAAATGAAGCGCACGTGGCGATTACCAACGACGGGTGGTATACCGTGAGCCTCCAGACCCTCCTGAACCACCAGCGCCTCCAGCGCCGTCTGCACCGCCCTTCCCTCCTGCTCCTTCTGCTCCTCCCGCTCCTCCTGCTCCTCCTGCACCGCTTGTTAACT